AAGACAAACGAACTTTGACCTTGAACCTTATCTTTGCATTATTCCTAAAGAGATGCAAGAAAAAGAACTACGTGGCTTTTTTTCAACGTTCGGAGTAAAGGACTGCTTCACTGAAGATGATCTCTTAGACGTTCTCCTTGAAATCCAAGCCAAGCACGACAATGCTATGTTAGACAGAGACGTCAYARCCAAAGATAAACAACTGGCCCTAGATATCCTTCACTGGATCGTTCGTGATGGCCCACTGAACCATGAATTGCGTGATAAAGTCTATGTTCCAGTGATGAARGGTCCAGGCATTTTAAAACTTGTTCCATTAACGGAGTGCACTTTTTGTGATGCTGAGTGGTTACGCGGGAACTTCTTTGAACTCCAGATGCTTCCGGAGCTGTCTGACCTAAGCCTGATAGATGAGAGCATTTCCAACACTACAGCCTCCCATCTAGGAGTTCCTCCAATGAGTCGGTGCGTGACTGCACCTGAAACACTGGGCTTTGAACAAGCTGGTCCGTACGAACCTATAACTCGGCGGTTAAAGAATATTTTAGACGAGTATAAGGAAGGAGCTGGTGTCTTCAAGGAACTCATACAGAATGCAGACGATGCTGGTGCAACTGAAGTGAAGTTTCTGGTGGATTGGAGACAACACCCGGTAAAAAGGTTGCTGGCAGAAGGAATGAAGGAAAGTCAAGGTCCAGCTTTGTTAGCCTATAACAACGCCGTTTTCACCAAAGAAGACTTTACAAACATCAACAAGCTCGCTGGAGCTACCAAGAAAGAAGACTTGGATAAAATTGGCCGATTTGGGTTGGGTTTTAACTCGGTGTATCACTTTACCGATACTCCAAGTTTCGTAAGCTCCAACTATGCAGTATTTTTTGACCCAGATACCAAACATCTTGGCCATTTCATAACAAACCCCTCGCATCCTGGAATCAAACTGGATTTGGCAGCAAAGAGGCAAACCCTTCTTTGCTATCCAGACCAGTTTCAGCCCTACCAGGGCGTCTTTGACTGTGATGTCAACGGAGATATGCCTTTCAACTTTGATGGCACACTCTTTCGTTTTCCTTTTCGTCGCGGGCCAAGTGAAATATGCGACAAGCGGTACAACGAAGGCGATGTAAAAGCGTTACTTGAATCCTTTAAGAGAAGTGCCTCGAGTCTTCTTTTGAATACCCAGAATGTACAACACGTAAGCGTATGGGAGTTAGATTATCGTGCAAATAAGCCATCTGACATGCATTTCATAACAAAAGTAGAGAGGAAGATCTTATCTGATTCCGGAGGTTTAGACAAGACGACGTTTCTACAAGATTGTGCAACATGGTTTAAGAGAGAATATCCGATGTACTGGGATGAAAGTCTTCCTCCTCAGCATACGAAGATTATTTCAATAACGCACACAACAACAGAAGACGAGCAGAAAGCAAGAACAGAATACTGGCTTCAATGTGATCGGATGGGGGATGCGGAGTCCCATGACATGGCCACGAGTGAAGAAGGAAGGAAAAAAGGACTTCTTTCCTGCGCTGGAGTTGCTGTAAATCTCAGTGGATCAATAGGTAACTGGAAAATCAAAGATACCAATGGTGAAGCATTTTGCTTTCTTCCACTTTCCATTCCAACCGGTCTACCGGTTCACGTGAACGGATACTTCGCTGTGACGTCTAATCGAAGAGGAATCTGGGAACAGACAGCAGAAGAAAGCCAATATTTTCAGCCCCTAGAAGCTCGCTGGAACAAAGCACTTATGAAGGATGGAATTGCACATGCTTACCTAGAGCTCTTAAAAGAAACAAAACAAATGGCCCAAGAAGGTATTCTTCAAGAGTACAACTTTTGTTCTTTATGGCCGAATCCATATCGTCTCCAGTCACACACCTGGAACTCACTTATTGTTGGAGTTTACAAATTGATTACAAGTTCATCATTAGCTTTACTAAAAAGCGGGAGAAATTGGTATTCAGTCGACGATTGTGTTTTCCCTGACACTGATATGCAGAGGATTCCTGCAAGTCTTCAAATTCTACGAGAATTGCAATACAAGATTGTGGATCTTCCACTCTTTGCTCGGAAAGGTTTCAGTATGGCGGAATGTGGAGAACAGATTGAAAGCCAGACGATGTCAGAGAAAAAGTTTCTGGAAAAGGTGTTTTTTCCAAACATCAACTTCATAGCAGGTGGACTACGTGACAGGGTATGTGTGATGGTTCTTGTAACTCACTATTTTTTATTGTTTTTTTGAAATAGTTTTTATTATTGATGATATTGACGCCAGTTTTTAGAGAGGTTGAAGTTTAAACCTAGCGTAAACATAACCTCGTACCTCTTTTTTTAGAGTCTAAATGAGACGAACCGGTTTTAGCATGGTTATTAGAGCCACAAAGAAGTCGTATGGCATATCATGGCCAGATATATGTTTTGGTTCGAATTCCATCACCTGACGATCATAATCGTAAATTCTGATGTTTATATCTATCTATACTTTTAGGTGGTCTGCTATGTTATTGATGAATGTTTGGCAGGCAGCGATGAATCCAAGAAAAAGCTATTCCAAGAGTTATTAAGAACCAACGCTTGCATTCCCTGTTCAGCAGATAAGCAAGTACTTGCCCGGCCAAGAGATCTTATACGTCCATATGGTGCTGCAGCATCTCTGTATTCACCGTGTGACAACAAAATGCCCGTGGGAGATTGTTTTCTTGAGACCAAACGTCTTCTGATGCTTGAAAAACTCGGCATGGTAAAGAAATTGAACTGGGATCAAATATGTGATAGGGCACAGTCGGTTCAGAGCTTCAAGTACGACAATGGCCTCAAAAGGGTTTCCTGTCTAATCAAGTACCTAAACAAGTACATAGATGATATGCCCTCGGCAGATGAAGACACAATTCAGTGTTTGACTTCTTTGCCAATTTTTCCAGTAATGCCAAAGCCAAAGTCAAATTTTTTTCTGTGGGAAGGAGAAAGAAATGGACGTAAAGCAATGCTGTCATCTGACAAACTGTTTGGCAAAGAATTCAGTAACATTATTGGTTCATTGAAGCCAATTTTGGACGAGTCTGAAGAAACTGGATGTGGAAACCTAAAATCAGAAGTGCGGAAGCTTTTTCAGATATCAGACCACCAACCGATAGTAAAAGAAGCACTAACCCAATTGCAAATAGTATGCGAGTTCTTCCAAAAAACGGAAAATTGCATATCTTTGCAAGGTGTGACTAGTGAGATTTGCTACAATATTTACGCGTTTCTGAAAAGCCATATCAGTAACGAGGACGACATGGAGTTGATGAAATGTACTTTGCAAGACGTATCGTGGCTTTTTGTGGAGAGTCGTTTTGTCAAGAGCAACCAAGTTGCATTTGTATGGAATGGTTATGGAGCGCCCTATCTTTATCGTGTCCCTACTTCTCTTGCCCTTCTTTACCGTGATCTTCTTGAAGAAATGGGAGTTAAGAGAACATTCCAAGTACAGGATTTTCTCTTGGCCTTGAAAGAAATGAGCACAGAAAAGATAAACCAGAGACTTAACGATGCTGAGTTCAAAGTGGCGAAAGRATTATTAGACGAGTTAAATAAGTTGCTAGATAAAATACCGGAGGAGGATGTTGGATGCACACCAATGCCAGATCAAGATAGAATCCTGCACTCGACCCAAGACCTCGTTATCAACGATGCCCCATGGATTCTAATGGACCAGGATGTCAAGTATGTTCATAAGGATATTTCCATAAATCTCGCTCATGCACTAGGGGCACGAGATATCAGAACCAAACACCTGGAGGACATATCGAGATCCATTGGGCAGCCATTTGGTCAGAAGGAGCTACTCACAGATCGTCTAGCAAATATTCTGAAGTCGTATCCTTGCGACTTTGGAATTCTTAAAGAGCTTCTCCAAAATGCTGATGATGCAAAGGCAACAGAAATCCATTTTGTTTACGACCCTCGTCATCACGGTAAAGAGCGATTATTCAAAGATTCTTGGAAGGAGTTGCAAGGACCTGCCTTGTGTGTGTTCAATAACCGTCCTTTTTCTGAAAAGGACCTTGAGGGAATTCAGAGGCTTGGCATAGGAAGCAAAGCTGATAGTCCAGAAAAGACAGGACAGTATGGAATTGGCTTCAACGCTGTTTACCATCTGACTGACTGCCCTTCTTTTATAACGAATGGAAACACTCTCTGTATCTTGGATCCCCACGCTCGATATGCTCCTGGAGCCACAAAAGATAATCCTGGAAGACTTATTGGTCCATTTGAAAAAACTAGCAATTTTCAAGAAAATTATCGAGATGTATTCCCAGGATACCTTGGAGATATGTTTGACTTAAAGGGATCAACAATGTTCCGTTTTCCACTCCGAAACGAAGACATGGCCAGTAAATCTGACATCTCTCAAAAAGAGGCCCTTTCGAAGATCAAGTACCTTTTGGAAAACTTTATGACGGAGGCAAAAGAAACTCTACTGTTTCTGAATTATGTTAAGAAAATTTCCATTTCAAAAATAGAAGATGGCGGATTGAAACTTATGCATGAGGTTTCAGCAGACCTTGAAGAAGAAGATGAAAACAAGCGCAGTTCTCTAGTTTCCTATATAAAGAAGTCAAAACATCTTCCAACGAGTGAGATAGAAAGATTTGGAATATTTTATCCAATCACGCTCAAAGACAAATCCTCTGAGGAAACGTGGCTTGTTCAGCAAACAATAGGTGTTTGCACCCAGGGAAGGAAAGTTGACATCCCTGACGGAAAACATCATGGTCTCCTTCCACGAGCAGGTGTTGCGGCAAAGGTAACGTCCAAAACAGAATTGAAACGGGAAATAGGAAATGGGAATATTTCAACTTACCCTGAAAGGAGAAAAGCATTTTGTTTTCTTCCACTACCTGTTATTACTGGACTTCCATTACATGTAAATGGCCATTTTACTCTCGACTCGGGGAGACGTCATCTTTGGCAAGACGAAGACAAAAGCGGCTTCCGAAGCACATGGAACCAGTTCCTGAAGACGGAAGTGTTAGCTGATGCGTACACAAGCCTTCTAGTTGAAGCTCGCGGACATATTCTATATCTTAAACACGAAGAGCAGTCATACTTCAGTCACTCATATGAAGCAAGTTATGGCTTGGGATGGTATGAAGGGCTATTTCCATCGCAAGATATATGTGAATCCCAGTGGAAGGGGTTGGTCGTCGCTGTCCTAAACAAGATAACTCACGGTGACAAGAATGTTTTACCTTTACTCCAAAAGGTAAAAACCGAGAAAGGATTCAAACACATTTGTAGCTGGCTTTCTTCTTCAGAAAGTTTTTTCCCTAACTTAGGTTGTAACCGGGAGCTTTCCAGTATTTTGCGAAACATTGGATTCAATCTGGTGTCCCTGCAATATAAGATGTACGAGAATTTCAAGAAAGCAAACACCCAAGTTAAAGAGGTAGCCCCTGAATCGGTTTTAAAGTTTCTTTCTGTTCATGCACCACTTTTGGAACAGCTTCCTTGTCCGATAGGAGATTCTGGTATGGAATCAGCTGCAGACGTTATCTCTCTAATAGAATATTGCATGAAGTCACCAACCTTTGTCAAGAATCTGGACGGCGTTCCTCTTTTACTTACACAAGATGGGATTCTAAGAGTCTTCAGCGAAAAGCATCCAGTTTACGTAAGCAAGTTTTCATATCTGGTTCAGTCATCTGAAGATCATGATAAATTTGCTGCAAAAGACGTTGTGACAGTCTTACGACCTGTATGTGAAGAGCTTTTTCTTGAAAGACTTCCAGTTGCATTGCCACTAAACTTGTCTAATCTAGTGACGTTTTTCCCTTCCATCTTCAAAGAACACGAAGTTTGGTCTCAGACACGTATTCCTGTTTCCTGGAAACCAGAGGGAAAAGACCGGGAAATTAGGAAATGGCTGATCAGTTTGTGGTTTTTCATCTCAAAGAAACACAAAGCAAATCCATCGGATCGTTTTCTTGAGCCCTTAAGACCTTGGCCTGTGATTCCAACCACATCAGGACATCTTCTACCTGTTTCAATGTCTAAAACTGTTCTAGATCTTACTGAATCATACTCATGGTCCAACAACCAAAGAAACATTGTTAAAGCATTGAGGGAGCTCCGGTGCCCCAACGTGGACATTGAACTGTTGAATTCAAAGGGAGCAAGTGTTTCAGACGTAGTTAAAACATACCTGGCCTATCCGAATTCAGTAAATGACGTCATTACTGTTCTGGACAGCTTAATGGAAAGAGAACATGACATATCTGGAAGAATCGATGCTAAAACCGCAAACCTTCTGCTGCATTTCCTTAAAGAAGATCCCCATACGTTACAGTCTAACGCTAGAAACGTGCCAGTGCTTCGTAAACTGCCGTTTTACGAGACGATTGATGGTCGGTTGATTAAACTGGAAGGCGCTTCATCTATTTGCAAAGTATCTCGCGGGATACCACTAGAGGAATCGGAGTTGTGGATGGAAGGAACAAGAAATATTTTTCTTGAGCCTTGTCAATCTCTCGACGTTCTTCACGAAATGCTTGGTGTGGAGTTAAAGTCACACGTCTCCTGCTACATCGATTTCATCTTCCCTAAGTTCAGCCTTCTTCAGGAATCTACTCGCCTCGAACATCTTTCGTACATAAGAGACAAGCTCCTTTACACGGATAATGAAAATGAAGTTGCAAGACTGGAATCAGCTCTTAGAAATCTAAAGTTCATCCCACATGTAGATTCAGGAGACTTGCACACGGCATCTTATTACTACGACCCTAGAAACCCAGTGTTTAAGGCCATGCTCTCAAAAAACAAGTTTCCGGGAAAACCGTTCTGTAAAATCGAGTGGGTTGAATTTCTTTGTCGGATTGGCTTGCAGACAACGTTCACCAAAGACCAATTTTTAGCGTTTGCTAGAGAAATTGAGAAAAAAGCAGAGCAGAATGAGACAAAGGATCTCTTGGAGAAATCGCAAGTTCTCACTCGATATCTTCTTCAGGAAGAAAATTTTCACGAGGCCAACTTTCTTGCTAAAGTCTCTACCATTAAGTTTGTTGTTGCTCACAAAGCCGACGAAAAGTTTAACTCTCTTGTTAAGCAATATCTTTTTGAGCAGAAGGCATTTGCACCTTTCATTTCCTTCAGAAATGCCCTGCCTCGAAAACATGAAGTACTCGTTTGGGGAAGCGCGGCACTCCTGCCTGACTGGGCTTTGCCAAGTGAGATGCCTACTCGAAGAGATCTAGGGATTCTCGAAAAGCCAACTTTGCAACAAGTTAAGAATCATGTGCAAAGACTTTGCAGTAGATTTGATAGCAAGGACATGGATTTGAAAGAATCTGTCAGGAAACTCCTATTGCAAATAATGTCGAAAACGTACTCCTTTCTTCAAGACTCGCTGTATGATTCGAACGTTCACCAACTTTTCCATGGTCTGCCTCTAGTTTTGGTGGAAGATGGAAGAGTATTTATTCGATGTGAGCAGCTCGCCTTTGAAATGGCAACGTATGAAGAACAACCACCGTATTTGTACAAGGTACCGAGGGGATTTGGCCAATTTGAGATACTATTCAAGCATCTTGGAGCTTCCGAGAAGCCGTGCCCTACACAGTATGCGTACATCCTTCAAACTCTCTGGAAAGATAGCAAAGGAGACGAAGTACATCCTGAGGAATTGAGGCATGTGGAGAATGCTGTGAGAGGTTTGTTCAGAACTTTGAAGAGGTTACACAAAGAAGATGAGCGTGCAAAAACCACGAAGTGTTTGGATTCTCTACAGGGAATTGAAACCCTTTACCTTCCTACCGAAAAGAAACATCTGAAACCTTCCAACCTTCTGTACTACGCGAGCCCTCAGCTGCTATTAAGAATAGACAAAGCTGAGTCCACGTACGATTTAATATACGACCTTATGGATTGTGGATTGGTTAACGATCGTGCTGAGGATCTCCTTGGGTACCTTCCTCCGCGTTTACAGGTGACGCCGTTGACAAACATTCTAATTGAAGAGCTACACGCAGATTGCTTTGATAGAAAGTGCAAAATGGATGAAAGTGGGAAATGCTCCAGTGCAAACCGACTAAGGTCATTGCTAGATTCCCACTACCTTATTGATGGGATAATCAGGATCTTGAAATCCCAAAATCGTTCAATGAAAGTGGACGATGATTTACGCACAAAGGTCGAAAGCCTAAGAACGATCTTTATTTTCGTGTGTTTTGAGAATTTGGAAACTGTCCTGAAAAATGAGAAAGATGAAGAAGCAGGAGGAAGTAAGGTTTCAAAGTCGTATTTCGCAAAACAGGATGGAGCAAAGACATGCATTTTCATCCAACATGGTGCAAGGAATATTTATGATGTTAGCTATGAATTGTCTTTAGCTGTAAATAAGCACATCGGCAATGCACTCAATCAAGAACATGTTACACATCTTGAATTCATAATCCTATATGGAATAATACGTCATCCAACAGCAATCCAATCTACATTAGATTTTCGCGGCATCGAACCAGACAAGGAGGAATTAACCAACAGTGCCCCAGAAACGTCATTCCTAGGTTCCCTGATACCTGAGGAGATGCATTACCTTCTGGTTCAATTCGAAGACATCTTATTTCGTCCAGAAGAAATAGTTGGATATGAGAAGGAGGACAACTCTGAAAAGGAACAAGGAGAGTACTGTTACGCGAGGATAGTTCGCGAAACCTCAGCACCGAATCTTGGGGGGAGAACGAAGAAACCAAAGAGAGATCCTTCCACTGGAAGACGAAAGACCCACAACTCGTTTCTTCGAAAGTATCTGATAGACATTGGTACTGGAGAGAAAATTGAAGTAGATGCCCTTGACTTGTACAAACTCAAACGTCCAGAGGAATTGAGTGATGCAAACGATAATACGACAGACTTTGAAATGTCGGATTCTCAAACTGTTGTTCCTTATGATGGTGAAGAGCAGTCAACAGGAACAAATGCGACGACGAACGACAGTCGCCCAGATTTACCACGTACGTGGGAGAAGGCCGTAAAGGAGGTGGATAAGGCTCTGGCAGATATCATGAAACTTCYAAACGAGCAGCGAAAAAAGGCTGTAAAGCGACTGTATTTACGATGGCATCCAGACAAAAATCCCGATATGGAAGAACTGGCCACTGAGGTAATGAAGTATATACAAAATGAGTTCCAGCGTCTTTCGGAAGGAAAGTCTCGTAATGCCAGCCAAGCAGGTTATGATGCTGAAGAATGGGAGTCGTCTTTCAGGAAATGGGACCAACGAGCAAGACGTCAACGTGCAAGTTATGACAACTATCGACGAAGTAATCCCGGATTTACGAGGAACTTCTCGTCGGGAGGAGGGTTTAGAGGGTTTAGTCAGTCTTATTATAGTCCTTCTGGAAGCTCGACGCCATTCGGACAAGGAAGTAGCAGTTATCATTCGCCAGACGCAATATTGGCAAGAGTCTGGATAATCCAGAGTCGCAGTGACTTAGAAAGCGTGAAATACCTTTTCAGCGCAAAAACACCAGGTGGTTTCTACTGGCTGATCTGCTTCCAGTGCAATCAAGTCGTAGAAAAAGCTTTAAAGGCGGCTTTGTATTCTGTGAGTGGAATCTCTGATTCTCAGCTGGACAGCCATGACTTGACAAGCCTGGCGTATAATTTGAAACGACTTCCAAGAGCACCGGATGTCGTTCATTTGGCTGGGAAAGTTTGGAGCTATCACGATGCTACACGTTATCCACACAAGCATCACCCAGCTAAGCCACCGAAGGAAGTCTATACCTTTCAACAAGCACAAGAGGCGTATGATGTAGCTAAAAGTGTGTTGAAAACGCTGGAGGAATTTATAGGCATTCTTCACCTCTAAGTTAAAGGTAATTAGATTTATTATATGAGATACGAAAAACAAGAATGAAAAGACAATTTTTCTAAAACATTATATTATAAAAATAAAATAAAATCCCACATTTTTCTCTTAGGACGAGTGAAGAAATCACCTAACTAGTGAAAGAAGATAAGTGGATGCATATCTGAGGCAAAGACTAGTGTCGATAAATAAAAACAACTGCTTTGTTTTCCGGTTTAAAAAGTGGATGGATGAGGCAGTAGTGGGAAAACATGCAAAATTTTAAACGTGATTTCGAAGTTGTTACTTTAGTGGTTAGTTTAAAAGCTTGCACATTCTTTAGTAAAAAAGTGGGAAAGCCATTTCAGTGGCAAATGAAACCGTCAAAGTGCATGCAGTAGCTAGTGCCTGCATGCTGCAAGTCACGGTTAGAAACTCGTCCACTGAGACGATTGGAAAAGCCAAGAGCAAGAGAAAATAAACTAGTTCATATTCTCTTGCCAAGAGCCATTAATTGAAAAAAAAGTTCCCAAAGTTTTAGTAAAGTAACGAAGAGTTTTTAGACATATATTTAGGGAGGTAGAGCAGTCTTTTGTACTGTTTATTAATACAGCACAAAGCAAGTGACGAAACGCGAGTTACAAGCGCTTGAGTAATTTCGGATCCTGAACGAGCGAGAAAAAAACTGTCAAATTTGTTTTATTTCATAGTAAGAAAATACGTAGTTTTTAAGTTCAGTGTACAGGTTTATTTAGTTTTCGTCTAACCGAAAAGTCATCGAAAGCTTCCCGTCCACACTTGCGTTTTCATAGCGTTTACACTGATAGGATCAGTGATAGCGTTCACACTGATAGAAACGCAGATATGATCGCAAATGATGCAATATCTTCATCGCATGCGAAAAAACAGAAGTGCCAGTGGGAATAACGTCACACAAGCGTCGGAATCGGAAGCAACATACGCCGACTTAGTATCGCATTTATCACCTGGGTGTTTAAAGACAAGCTGACTGTTAACGAGCATTACACTACTGAGTTTGCGTTTGTTGCTTCCGATTCCGATGCAAGTAGTGTGAACCAGGTTTTATACGATAGGCTTCCGTTCTCAAATGTCTCCACTCTTGAGAGCGTTTCCAAAGGTATGTTTTTCGATCTTTTAAGTGTGAAGGCAAGGCCAGAACGCATCGAAAAGTATGCGTTATGTGGACGGTTTCTTAATAGTATAATGCACGTTATATAGGGTTAGTTTTGTGACGCGATTTCAGTTTTAGGTCATGTTATGGTATATAATAAAGTGGTATATAAAATGGTATATAAAGTGCTATATAATAAACCCTTTTGGCTTGGAGGTACTGTTTTTCATTTCAGACCACAGGTCATTCCCTCTAGAATGAGATTCTTTGTTTGAGTTGCATATATATTCATGTGTCTTCTCATGCACAACGTTAAACGAAAAGATACGCTATATGGCCGAATGAAACGGTCTGAAATGGTACGCCCTAGCTAAAAGGTCTTGAAGCAAATTAGAACGAGCCCTTAGAGAGAATTGCTTTTTAACTGTTTAGCTTACTCTACAATCAATTTGTAATGGGAAATCTGGCTTCTAAAGCCAAGGCAATTGAGGGTTCTGGAGTTAATGATAAGCTAGTGAGAAACGTAATTTTAGTCCCCGTTAAAAATGCCTCCAAAAGTCCTGTGTGGAAAATAACTTTTATGTTCTGATAAAAATTTTCAAATTGTTTTTCTCATAGCCGGGTCATTGCTCTGTCTGAGAGTGTAGCTTATTATTATTTTGATTAATTGTTCTTTCTGGAAGTCAATGGCACTGTCACCTCCCTCTATAATGTGGATTTTTCTCCTGTCACGAACATATGCACCTTTTTGTGTGAAGAAATCATGTGACAGCATCGCCGACTGCCCACCGTTTCAGCCAATCGATGGCTGTCATACTTGGTATACAACGCTGTGCACGTGACTGGTGTCGTGATCGCAGCTGATTGGCTCCCTGTGTTTCCAGTATCCAGAAAGTTCAGAATTTCAGGGTAGAAGTGAGAATAACGAGGAAGACCGTAGAATATGATATTACGTATTCCCTTGATCCGATATCTTAAATAAAATAAAAACCTGAGGTGAGTATTGACTTTCACACCCCTCCCTACTAGGACTATTTTCGAGCCGCAAAGGGGAGGGGATGAGAGATGGCACTTGATCAACTTACCTGTAAAAGAAGTAGAACCGCTCAGTGTAAAGCATGAAAGCTTTTGATCCTTCCAAGAACCAGTTTCTGGCCCGTGTTATGTCGGACCTCTTGGAATATCTGTTAAAATTGGACAATAGTTTGATAAAGAACCACTGAACTGGGACCATGTTACCGGTAGTTACGGTATGCAAAGTTGGCTTGGTTTGTCAGTGCGCTAAGATCAGCTGCTAAGCAACAGGTCTATAGTCGATTTGATCCTCGGTGACCTCACACACTTGTTTTAAGGAGCGTGTGGCTTGGTTGGTTAGTGTGCTGCTTGCTAAGCAAGAGGTCCATAGTTTGATCCTCAGTGACCTCACACACTTGTTTTAAAGAGCAAGTGTGGCTTGGTTGGTTAGTGTGCTGCCTGCTAAGCAAGTGGTCCATAGTTTGATCCTCAGTGACCCCACACACTTGTTTTAAGGAGCAAGTGTAGCTTGGTTGGTAAGTGTGCTGCTTGCTAAGCAAGAGGTCCATAGTTTGATCCTCAGTGACCTCACACACTTGATTTAAAGAGCAAGTGTAACCTTACACAGTTGTCTTAAGGAGCGTGTGGCTTGGTTGGTTAACGTGCTGCCTGCTGTTCGATTCTCAGTGACCTCACATCGAGGGCGGATCGGGAAGGGGGGGGGGGGGCAAAGGGGGGCTGAAGCCCCCCTTCGGCATAAAAAAACAACAAAACTGAAGGATTAGATGCTTTTTTTATTGTTTTTCGTTGTGTTGACGGAAGAAACCCAATTAGCCCCTCCCCCCTAAACTTAATAAGCCCCCCCCCCTAAAATTTAGGCTGGATCCGCCCTTGCACATTTATTTTAAGGAGGAAGTGTGGCTTGGTTAACGTGCTGCCTACGTAACCACAGCTCTGATAGTTTGAGTCTTAGTGACGTCACTTTGTACCCTTTGAAAAAAACTTTGCAAAGTACCATGGGATGTAAAAGGACCAAGAGAATATTAATATTCTCTTGAAGAGGACATAATACATGAATAGAACTGAAATATCTCCTATCTTGTAGACTTACTCTGAAATATGAGTGAAAGATATTTCTTCTTGCCGGAAGAAATTCCGGAGTCGAACGAAGTCAAAGTAGGAAGGTACAAAAATGGCCGTGTGTCCCATGAGATGACCCCGAAACTCTGGCAATATCTACAAAACGAAATATAAAAATCAGATAAATAGTATTGAAACATGATATTTTACTCTTGCCTATTGTAGTTTTTGCAACGTTTTTGTTTAATTCTTTTATCAACTAGGAACGCAAGCTTTGAATACCGGAATGGCGGCGAAAAGTTACGAGGAATTTGAAGAACTTTACTTACCTTTTCGACGAAAAAATTAAATGTTTTCTCTTGGGACTCGGCGTGTGAAGAACACTCGATACGATAAAAAACCTGGAAAAAATACGAAATTTCTGGTTATCATAGTTCATAGGAAAAATAACTAGGCTAAAAGTCTAAGAATCTAAAAAAAAAACATCTGTAAAATCAGCAAGATTCAGGCAAATAGTTTCAGTGTGAGACAATGTTCTGTGCTGTGACTCTTAAATTGCTTAAAAAGTCGAGCATTGTGATTGGTTGAGGCGTATTTTCTCGCCTTTTCATTGGATAAGTGAAAGCTATTTAAAAGCCCTCTTTTCTAGAAGAATCTGTAAGATGTACATGTATGTATACCTGGGGAACTTGTGTCACTACTTGGCAAATGGTTCCTGGGAGTTCAGTCAGTTGGATTTTTGTTTTCCCGGCAAAATGTAAGCATGAGAGTTAAGGCTTTGGAACAAGAACAATTATAGAAATCTGTTATAAAAGACTTTCGTGTCTTATTAGTAAATCTATGTTTAAAAACAAACAAACAAACAGACAGACAGACAAGGAAGCAAGACGGACGGAAGCCGTAACGAACACGGACAAACAAAACGTGAAAAAAACAAACAAACAAACAAACAAACAAACAAACAAAACAAAAAAACAAAAAAAACAAAACAAAAAAAAACCCAGCGTGGACGGGAATATCACGACAACTGTGTTCTGATTGGATAAAATGATACGTTACGTTTTTGTGCCTTTTGATTGGCTGGCTTGGAACAGCCATTAGTTGTCATCACGATTTGATGAAATATGATTTTGCCATTTTATCATCGTTTGTAACGTGGTTGGTTCACAAGGGAAGCTTTTTTGGTAGTCATGAAATAATCTGCACTGTTACTGAATGAGTTGTGTTTTACAACATTGTGACTGATTCACAAATGTAGCCTACAGTAATTGTAAAGGATATTATGACATTGCTTGTTCAACAGAGAATTCAGCTCTGGGAAAAAGAAGCTGCCGAAGAATAGCGTCTGACGATAATACTTTGACCTGAAAGAGAATGGGAACGGCGAAATAAAGAAATAATAAGCAACTCAAAATCATTTAGCTAAAAAACAAAGGCGTACAAAAGCTTTATACAGACCAGCCATTTAGACACCAGTTTCGAACACGAGAGAAATCAACGTCATGTGCCTTTTTTGGTTGTTTATGTAGATTATCAAAGATATGCTATAAGAGAATAATGATTAATGATAAGTAACATCATTCGTACAGTACCCAAGTTTTGAATTTTCTGTTGTTCAGGGTTAGCCCATATCAAACATTGAGTGTCGTATTTCCCTGTGTCTGTTGTCTGCGAGGCAGATCCACGAGTTAGTATCGTCCCCGTATCCTTCCTCGATTTTCCAAAGTTTTTTTTTGACTTGTCTTTTTTTCTTTTCTTTTCTTCTTCAAAAATTTTCATGTTCGAATTAGTTATAAAACGAAGACCTTTTTGTTTGCCGCTTTTCCGAACAATCCAAATATGGAATTGAACATATCATATATGGAGTGAGATTTCTCTACTCCAACTTCGACACTAACATATAGAGTAAAGCTTGATATGCCTTCTGTGGAATATTAATCCGTTCCAGTGATGGTCTCTGGATTTTTAGTGTTGTATTGCTGAAATTGTGCACTCTTTACTTTATCGTTGTTATTTGTGAATATTTAGACACTGTAATAAGGCTAATGCTGAGTAATTGAATCTGTTAACGAGGAACACAGCGTTATAAATGACCAGTAAAGGGCTTTACATTGGAATGTATCTCGTTAAACTAGTTTTACCTGAATGTGTTCCCAGTTTTGCATAAGGTAGACGTCTGCTTGGTCGAGAATGAGAACTTCAATGGACGATAAGAAGTCGCAATCCCCAAACTTTTCACTAAGAAAGTAGAATCCAGTATTAGTTTTCTACATATTCTCTGAACATTTTCGGTAGAATTGCAGGAATAGGTGACTTTGACAATGATGGAGAGGAAGACAAGACGAGACGAGGGGAGACGAGAGGAGAAGAGGAGAAAGAGACGAGATAAAAAGAGAAAATAATACAAGGCGAGAGAAGATAAGGAGAGGAGAAAAAGAAAAGAAGGGAAAGGGGAGGAATGCGAAGAAAAGAAAAATAAAACACAAACCTTACCCATCAGAACCAAGGATAGTTCTTAGACCCAGTGGCGATGCGATTAAGATATCAGAAGAGTAAAAATGACTGTACAGTTTAACAGCTTTCCTCATTATAGAAAGCCCGATGCGAAAACAATCGTCAATATTTCCCTCAAACATTTTCTCAAAATCAACTGGTCGGAAGCTTCTTTTTGTGTCTGAGGCACCAGAATCGGAATACTCTTCTTGAAACCTCTTTTTACTCATTACTTGGCCCTGGAGATAAAGGGAAACTTAACAGGTAAACGTCGACAACAATAGTAAGTCATCAATGGTGAAAGATAAGGCTTGATTTAAACTTTAATCAATACCCTTAAACAATTCTGTGGATTGATCGAAGTCAGGGGAGTGGCTAACTTGCAGAGGAACCCTGAAACCTCTAAACTGATCTAAGTCAGGGCATGGCTAACTGACAGATCAAACCCTGAAACGACCTCTGGGCTGATCTAAGTCAGGGTACAGCTAACTTTCAGATCAAATTGGAATTAAGTATGTGATGCTGCTCACATGTGATGCTGAGCCCAGTAACTGAAGCTGAGAGCCCAGAGATGAGAGGAGAGTGCACTACTGTTACGTTCTTTGCCACTCTTGATTCCCACAACCATACACCAAAACCATCTTACTTACCTCTCCATTAGGTAGTAATAAATCTATAATAATATTGACAATCTTGAGTGCGGAATTTCTGAATGGAACGAGGATGAGTACTTTTGGTCTTGTTAGTCCCTGATCACGAAGATCACTGCAAACAAAATGAATACATTTTAAAAATTAACCTTCATTCAAACTCTCTAAGACAGATAAATAAGAAGGAAACATCATGTTAAAATGTTTATAACTACAGTATACTGACGTTTGGGACTCTCCAAAACAGAGAACAGTTTATTTAAAAATTTGAAAATAATTTATGCAGGTGATAGAATAGACTTTAAAATGACTTACTCAACCTCCTTGTTTTCCTTTTGGGCCAGGACAATTTTTGCATTGTTTTTAAGCACCCTAGAACGAGTTCTGTAAGAGAAACAAAAGAAAAATACGTACTTATTTAATAGAGCTCTTTAGCTTGGGTCACTTGTCAGGTTTCATTCTTTTGAGAATAAGATTTTGGTACGATGTTGCATCCATATTCATGTGTCTTCTTATGTGCAAAGAAATAATACTCAAGGAAATGACATGTGGTGTGAAAAAGAAAAATATTATGTCTAAGGTAAAGATATTGAGGCAAGAGCCTTTAATAGTATTAGCCTGTTTGAGCTGATTGCAAAAGTTGATACATCAATTAAAATTGAAGTAACTTACTTTAGGATGTGATTGACAGCATGTAGACAGTAAAGTTTGGAGATATCTTCGCCATTATCAAAGGACCGGTTTGAGTAAAGAACATCCTGCAGTGAGAAAAATAATCTTGAACTTATCAAAATTACTTGATAATCTAATTTCTTCAAACCTTCAAATTTTATCGATACCCTGAAACAACCAATGGTGTGAAAAGAGTGTTGCAATATTACCTGGTATGAATTGATGTATGGAAATAATTTCTTTTGTAGTGGGGTAAATTCTTCTAGAAATGAAAAATAAATGACTGTCATTATCAAGAGGCCTAGAGAAAAACGACAAGAAATTCAGGAAATAAATATTAAACTTTGTTTAATGAGATACTTACCATTAGGTTCTGCAGATTTGTTTGACAATCTCCAAGAGTTGCGCAGTCTGTTTTTGACCTTTGAAGAATAGAAAAAAACAAAAACAAACAACATTCCATCATTATTAATGTAGAAGGTTTTGGGTATTCTGTGGAACTGTCCCAATGTACCTGCCACAGATGCTCTCTATCCCTTATAAATAAGGAATTTGTGTTAACTTTATAACCAAACAACAATCAACTGCCAACTATTGGCTAAGGCTCAGTCAATGCTCTCAAACAACACATCTTAACATACCTTGAATAAGGCACTAGTTTGAGTTTTATTGGATGAACCATATACCATAGGGACCTTGAAGGTTGGGACAAACGTTGTGACTGTCCCCAGAGATGATACCTGGAAAAGACAAGAACAATAATATGATGTCTTTTGTTTGAACCAATTATTGCAGTCTCAGGTAAGCTAAACATTCATGATCCTTGTGTTTCTGATTGCCTGTTATAGACCCATTATCTCTTTCTGATGCACCAACAATAATTAGTTTAAGATGTAATCTGTTTTTCTTCAAACCAGTCTTCTTAGGAAAAAAACTGAGTTCCTAGGCAGAAATCAAACCCCAGACTGCCTGGTTGATGTTAGAGTGGTTATAGCACCTGAATGGCAAACAGGATGCCTTGGGTTCAATTTCTGCCTGAAGAACTTTTTTTGTTTTTTTTTTATGTTGTCTAGGTCTGTCAAGACCATGTGTCAACTGTGTGACATTTGCTATAATTTGGATAAGGGTGCGAAATACCATTTTAATCAAGAATGTCTTACTATGTTTGTCTTTTGCTCAAATGCTTTTGGATCTAGAATTTTTGTTTCAAAATCATCATCCAAGTCTTGTTCAAAATGGACAGTAAATGGATCTTGTTCGTCTGTGGAGAAATGACAAAAAAAGACAGTCAAGCAAAAATGATGTCAAAATTAATAGATCTGCAGGGCTTTAGGATGTTTTGGAATAAATGGTCAGAATCTGAAGTAGCTGGCTGTGACCCGATACAAGGAACAGAATGTATTTTATAGACAAAAAAAAAGTAGCCAGCATTTAATAACTTTTGAGCAATCACTGCATGGATCTCCAGTGTGTGCTGGCTTACTCTGCCCCTGATCATGACATGAATATGATTCTTGGCAAAACAGTTGTCTTTAAATTGTTATTTTTTTAAGTACACTGTACCTTGCTCTATTATGTTGTCATTCACATCTTCATTATCACTTTCATCATCACAGTTTTCTTGTCTGTAATCTTCAACATTATCATCATCATCATCACTGTAATCATCATCATCTCCTTGTCTTGTGTCACTTTCAACTTCTTGGTTTTCCATTTCAGTCTTCTTCCTTTCACTTTTCCCTTCCTCTTTTTCACTTTCATTGGCTTCCTGTGATGAAAATGTTTACATTTGTTCCTTATGTTTCAGTTATTTACTGCATGCAGAAATACTGACAACTTTTGATACTGAAAGTTTTTGGATTTGAATAATATGGCAAATTTACAGGTGATTGAATTTGGCTTTTTTTCTACAAGAAAAAGTATACTGGTGGGCAACAGCTTGCCCATCAGATACATTTGATTACTTGTAAAATACCTACCTCGGTCTCCAATAATTTTCCATATTTAATTATTTCGGCATGCTCTCTTCAAATATCATGTTTTTATTTATATTAGATTAATTTAAAATTGCAGTATTTATATTAGATTAATTTAATCATTGCAGTGTCCGCAAACTTACAGTTGATTCTTCAGTAATCTTGTCATAAACTTCCATATCTGATTCAATGTCCTCAACATCATCGTCATCGTAGTCTTCAACGTCATCAGTATTATCACTATCATCATCCATTTCTTCATCATTTTTTATCATCTGTAAATATTTTTGCCTGACATTTGAACCAAGAGAGCCAACTAACTTTTGATATGGGTCAACTTCCTCTTCTTCCTCTGAGTCAACATACTCTTTCTCCTAAAAAAAACACACCATTAGATGAGATAGTCCTCTCTATAGTTTCGGCATGTAATGTTTTCCCATTTCAGACTTCATGTCTCATTCGTTATCTACTTTAGAGTATCATTTCTTTGTTTGACAGTTACTCACAAGAAGACACATGAAATATTGACACAAAGAATCTATCTTGAAATGAAAAATACATCTTATTCACTAGGGAATGACTTAGTCTGAATTCCAGGTAATTTTTTGGTCTAGTTAATGAGGTTTATTAGATTCATTTAAAAACTCAGTAAATGGAACTGATTGCCAACTCTATTTTGGGCAGGGGGAGACTGGTTGAAGGCTAGGAGTAGGAGGAATTTTATTTCAGAAGTATATATACAAAAAAATATTAGATAGAACACATTCTTACTTGGAAGGTCTTTGAGTTGTCTGACTGAGATGGATTGTTCTGAAGAAGTGAAAATATTACTGTATCATTTAGTATTTTAAAGAAAGATGACCTTGGAAATGAACACCTTTTGTGATAAAATAATATGGAAATATTTACTGTACCTCCATAAATGATACCTTCTTCACTTTCATGCTGCCATTTTCATAGAAATCACTTAAGGCACAAAAAGGGAAGATTAGAAGATTCCACAGGAAGCCCAAATAAAAAGCCTACTGTTTCTTTTAATAATAAAAGATGTTATATAGAGCATTTTCACTCAAGTGAGAAGACAGCCACATTGGTATTACAAATAATAGAAACTTTCTGCACAGGTTTTTGCCTAAAAATAGAGTTCTTGGAGGATAGAAAATGTATTGTTTTGGTACACCAACATGGCTGCAGTGACGACACATGAAAACGTTCTATACTAGATGATGAGGATGCTGATTTGTGATTGATGGTACTATAATTATTACTGGTGATGCACGGCAGTGGTGATGATGGTAGTGATTAATATGATGTTTAATAACAGTCATGCTGTGATAGGATGATGATGATGATAATTGGTGGGTCGTTGTAGTGGTGATACTGATAGCTATACTGCTGCTGTAAATGATGATGATAAGATTGATGATGACAGTATTCGTAGGAGGGGTTGATGGTAATACTCTTGCTACTGATGATGGCGATGATGACAATGGTATGGTGATGAGGCAGATGTTTAATGGCGATAGTACTATGATAGTATTTATATATATCATGATGATGGTAATGATGACAATGATTAAGAAGAGATTGGAGTTTGGTAGTAATGGGATTGCAGATATCAATGCAGGTGTGAATCAAGGAATTTTAGAAGGGGGGGTGACTATTACCAAGGTTTTACCAGAAATTCAAGGGATAGCTAGGGGGTGGCTGTTACTAAAGATATACTGAGAAATTTGAGTCAAAGGGGGGGGGGGGGGGACTAGTCACCTATTTCAACACCCATGGATTTGCTCCTGCAATGGCTATGTTGCCGCTACTGCTACTGCTGTTTCTGCTCATGATATTAACGATGTTAAGATTAGTGGTTGATGGAGAAGCGATTCGGCCAGTGATCAAGAATGCGAGAGACGGCTGTTAATTATTCTTTTATCTTACATAATATATGAATCCAAGACTTAAAGATCGCCCTCTCTCAAAAGCCAATGACATAAATATTTCTGAAACGACATCAAAACACACGAAATTCCCACGTGCTTTTATCGCATTCCAATAATAATCTCCATTACCTCGCATCCAGAGGGTGAAGCTCACCAAAATCCTTGATATGTCTCTTCTGTGCCTTGGACAGTACCTTCGCATTGATTGCAGTGAGTTTAGCGACTTTAGATTTAGTTTTTTTCTTCGTTTTCTTTTTCTTCGTTTTCATGTGCTTCGCCATTTTGGATTTTGTAAACAATCCGCTGACAGGATGATATAGTCGGCGCATCTCTGAGAAGGGACTAAATCTATAGTAAACCATTTCTGCATTCAATCAAAAAGGGCCCTTTGAAATATATCATATTCGGGTAACAACTTTAATATTGATAACACAAAAATGGACTTAAAGTATTATAGGTTGTGAGTTGAATCCATTTAAGTACCTTTTTTTCAAAAAAGCTTTTACTAAAGTAACAGTTCATTTTGGGACTATATTTGTTATGTTCCAGGTAAAACGAATGAGCCTTTATGACCCCTGCGCAGTCGGTACTACGCATATACGTGTACTTGAGCATGTACTTCCGGTACCCGTCTAAAATTTCACAATTTTTCAACAATTTCTTTTTGATCTTCGAAAAATGAGTTTAGGAATAATTCTTGGAGGAATATTTGCTCTTGTTGTAGCTGGATACATCGCACAAAGTCGTCTGCCTCCTCCAAAGCCAAAGATTGTAGGGATAGATTTGGGAACGACGTATTCTTGTATTGGTGTTTATCAAGCCATTTCTGGACATGTTGATATTTTGATGAACGAAAATCATGCCAAAGTTATTCCTAGTATTGTTGCTTTTAACGATAAAGAAGTCCTTGTTGGTCACAGAGCGTTAGCACAGGCTGAGATCAATCCAAAAAAGACGATTTACGACGCGAAGAGGTTTATAGGAAAAAAATTTACCAAGGAAGAATTGAGAAACTTAAAAAAGTTATACCAGTTCAAAATAGATGAAGATGATAAAGGGAATCCAGTTTTTGTGGTGGAAAAAGGGAAAAATCACTCATTTGTGAGTCCTGTAGAAATAGGAGGGTATGTTATTAAGGAACTCCGAAGAATGGCTGAGAAAAATCTAAGTGGAATTGTGACTAAAGCTGTAATGTCTGTGCCAGCAGAATTCAACATGGCACAGAGAAATGCCACTATAAAGGCAGCAGAACTGGCTGGAATCAAAGTTCTTAGAGTTATAAATGAGCCTACCGCTGCTGCCTTAGCCTATGGATTACACAAGAAAACTGGAGTCAATAATGTCATGGTTGTCGACCTTGGCGGAGGTACCCTGGACGTGTCCCTTTTAAACATCCAGGGGGGGATGTTTGTGACAATGGCCATGGCAGGTAACAACAGACTAGGTGGCCAAGACTTCAATGAAAGACTCATGGCTTATTTACTTTCTTTGATAAAAGATCGCTTCAGTGAAGAACTAACAAATTCTGAAGATATACAAAAATTACGCCAAGAAGTCGAAGCTGCAAAAATTAATTTAACGACACAATCAGAAGTAGTTTTACGTGTCCCTCTTCATTCATTAAATAGAGGGAAAAATTTAGCAATTTTTGAGGAGCCTCTGACTCGGCATACTTTTGAAAAAATTACTCAGGACTTGTTTCAAAAAGTTCTTAGACCAATAAAAAGAGTTCTAAAGGAGGTTGATCTTCCGAATACGGCAGTTGACGAGGTGGTTCTCGTAGGTGGATCTACCAGGATACCAAAAGTGAGGCAGTTGATTAAGGAGTTCTTTAATGGGAAGCCTCCCAATGTATCAATTGATCCTGAATTAGCTGTTGCTACTGGTGTTGCTATCCAGGCTGGTATCATTGGAGGAATGTGGCCTCTACAAGTATCAGCTATAGAAATAATGAACCATGTAAAGAAAGTAAATGTAAATGAGTAACAACCTTAAATATGCCATAAAATCCTGTTAAGAGACACTCAACTGACAATGTCTGGTCAAAACTGGCATTTGTCTTGCAAAATGCCCCTTAGGTCATTCTTTTTGACCATTCATATTAGACTGGTTACGTGTCTATCAGTCCAATGTGGCTGGTCATCTTGTCCAGATCTGGCCTTGCATCCAGAAGCCATTATTTTGAGCCCTGATATTATATAGCTATAACGAAACCATAAAAAAACTATATTTATTTTAATATCCAGTCTTAAACACAACCACAACCTCTATTTAATTTCCTTTAAAAAAAATTTGATATTTTCCAAAAAGAATTTTAATTTTGGGTTGATGTTTTTGCACTAAAACTGCCTTGAAAAAAATAAACAAAATAATATTTTATTAGTCATATTTATTTATGCAAACATACAAAGTAATAAGGGAAACAAAGAAATGGAGAAATATAATATAAATGAGAACATGAAATGAATGTTCCAAAAATATGTTGAACTGTTGTGAATGGAATTTGGTGAAATACTGGTATTAAGTAAATATTTTTGAATATTTAATATATTGGTAGTTGAAGATTTTCATTCCAGTCTGTCAAATTTGTGTAAAAAATATATTTCTATAAACTACGCGATGAAAGAATAAATATTCAATGTCTCATCCAGCACAAAGATAAACTACTGAAAATGAATAAAATAAAATGTCTAAAAAAATAAGAAAATGCCTTATGTTCTAAAAAAATAATTATTATTAGATTATATTTCAATTATAATTTTTTTAGGAGTTAGTACTTTATTTGGGGAATATTGACTGCTAGGGATGTCCTTTTTAATTTTTTTATTATTTTTATGTGTTTGAGGCTAACAGGAAAATGCAAAAGAATTATCAGTAGCACAAATTTTATTGAGAAATTGTGATTGCTTTAAAAATTTCCGTATTGTCAGGTTAGCTTTGCATTCAAGATAATTTATGAAACGAGTCTCTTGTTCACGATACTTCAGTTTTGATTGCTGTTGCTCAGGGTCAGCCTCAATTTTGTATGGAATTATTTTCATAGAATGATCATGCATAATTTCAGTAAATGTCCATGAAATACTACAGTTCCGAGTTCCCTCTTGCTCAGGGTTGGTCTCCATTAGAATATTCTTGTGTTCCAGCGAAGGTCTGTGGAATTTCAAAGAGTTTGTATTGTTAAATTTGTGCATTCTTCACTTACAGTTGGTATTTATGATTATTATATGACTGTGAATCTTAGAGCCTGGACACTAGCAAATTGAGCAATCTGATTGGATATATCGCATCGCGGACTGGTCTAGATTCTCCGGTATTAACCGGTCCGATCGCATATTAATCTTACGGGGAAAACATTTTGTCCTTTTCAATGAAAAGTGGTCATATAATAAAACCCTTATTAACTGAGCTTGGTCGGTCTGTACAGGATAATCTTGACCTCGGTCGGGTACAGATCTCGCTGCGCTCGGTCTGTACATTCCGACCTCGGTCAAGATTATCCCATACAGACCTCCCGCTCGGTTAATAAGATCTAAATATTGACACTGATTTGAGGCTAATTAATCCTGAGTTAATGAGTCTAATCAACACTGTCAGCAGTAATTTGGAACTCGAAAATGGTCTATTGCTGAAGTAGTGCATCGTTTACTTTAACTGGTATTTGTGAATCAGTTTTGACGATGAAATGAGGTTAAACCTGAGTAAATGAGCCCATAATCAAGGAACTAGAAGCATTTGACTATTTTGAAAAAAGTAATTTGCCCTATTGAATAAAACCTACCAAACTTAGCATGCAAGCAGCTGAATTGTAGGCTAACTAACTGTATTTTTTAATTTTTGACAAGAACGTCCTCCCAGAAATAGTGGAACTCTTTATAGAGTGCAAACAATATATCCGTGAAACACTAATTGCTAAATTGTTCAAAATAGTGCTAGTTAAACAAAAGAAAACAATAGAATTAGCATAAAATAGTGCAAGTTAGTATTACTAATATTTCACGGATAAATTATGATTCCCTAACCCACCCCTCCCCTGGTGACACAACCCACGGTTTGTAGTTTACACCACGTGACGTCTGATAAACCAGTCCCTACGCATTCCAACGAAACAACGCCTTCAATCAGAAATCGAAGGAAATAACCCTTTGTTGGCTTTCTTTAGGCTTCCATCTTCTCCAGCAAAACCTCTTTAAACTTATTAAAATGTCAACGGCACAAGCTCAAGTTTCGATGCAACGTGCAGTAGTGGAGCAGCTTCGAGGAGAGCTCAAAGTCAACAGAATGAAAATCTCTCAAACATCGGCCGACATTATGAAATTCTGCGAACAGAATATCAATGGCGATCCTTTGGTTAACGGTGTTTCAGCCTCGGAAAACCCTTTCAGAGAAAAGAACGTTTGTGCGATACTTTAGGGCTTTGGAATCACTGGAAATTCGTGGAAAACAAACATTGAAAACTGTGAAATAATAACGTGTTAATGGCCTTCATTCGATCGCATGGCTCTACTGTGAATATTGTATCTTCAATCAAGACATCACATTGTTGTCTTGAGAAACATTCTTCAAATCTCTGTTGATTTTGTTCCATTTTGATTCAAGAAATATTACTTTGTTTGAATACAGTTCAAGTTTGAATAAAGTTCAACTCTCTGGATTAGATATTGACTTTGTGTTGACTTGAAACGATTCTTGCCTTTTACGAACACCAGGAATTATTCAAGATGGCGTGAGGGGCAATCTGCAGAGCAATATAATCTTTATACATATTCTCTCCAAGAATCATTACGTTTTCAAAGGACCTCTGATCCAGAAGACGAACAATGCTGCAAACTTCAGTTCTCGTTTTTCTGGCGTTAGAGTCAGCAGAACGAAAAGAGTTACCTATTATTTGTGCACTGAAAATATATATCTGTATCAAAAATGTGAATAATGTTTGCTTCTCGTATTTGTGATTTGATCAATGAATTTTGTAAACATCAGATTCTTTCTACTAAGCTGCATGATGTTTGAAAATTCTCAATTTAAAAAGGTTTTATTTTTTCTGCGTATCATAATAAAATAAATACTTTGTAAGATTTACTATGTCGTTTATATTTTTATTTCATTTTTCCTGCTTTTACTCTTTTATTTAATTTCTAGTAGTAATGATTTCTTTCAGTTAAAATCATTCCAAAAATTTCAATTTACCAAATTTATTTATGCTTAAAGCCATTTATCAATATCCAATGACCTTCAAAATTTTCATTTTTAGATACCCCAAAGTTCCTGTCTGTCTCCTGCAAGGAATTAATAATGCCTCTGTTATTGAAAAAACCACTGGCTTTTCTCTTGCTTCATGTGGGTTAAAAAGCACAGCTTATTAATTGCTCAATTCATATATATTTTTCTGTGTCATGCTAAAACACAAGAGAAGATCAATAACAAGTACCTTTTTATATAATGCATTGATCAAAGATAGCAAAATTCATATTTTTCAAATTTCCAGGACCATGTTTTTGTCTGCTCAAACAGTTAATATTTTATACTGTTGTTAGAGTGTGAAGAAAAATATTTTTTTTAGTTTCGATTGCATTTGTCTTACAACTAATGGAGAAATATAAAATATTAAACAAATGAAAAAATCCTGGTCTAATAATTAATCAAAAACCTTTCCAAAATAATTGTTTTATCATCTGATTATCTTTATGAATCATTAATTTTAAAATGTCAGTCTTGTATTAGTTAAAGAGAACAAGTCTAAAAGAAAGTTGTTTGTTCCTTAGGAAAAAAAAGGATGGTTTTAGAGAGTAGGAAAACGATAAGTGTTGGTCAATATGCTTCTGCCGATAAGTCTTGTCTTGTCTCACAGGCCGGCTTCATAACAAACRTCCGCTATAAATGCTTTTTTGTCTGTATTATTGTTACGTTCCATTATTTTCTTCCATTAGTCTGGAGCACAAAGCCATTATAAATAGCCAATAATCTTGGGTAATGTTAATGGTACGTCATGTTAAACCAACATCGCTTGATCAACTCTTGATTTAAACGCAAGAATGATTTTTGTCATGTCTACTTCTGGTTTTTTCACTTTATATATTCTGCTTTTTTATTCTTTTTCTAAAGTTAGCTCTTCTTGATATAAATTTCATAAGCCATTCTTAGAAATTCTCAAAATTTTAAAAATTTTCATCGAATCAAATTGGACTTGATCATAAGAGGTTTTTTTGGTTTGAATGCTTTTTTTAACATTCTTCCAACCATGTAATATAAACCTTTAATTTTAATTTTGTCTCAATTCTCCCTTTTCCTACCATTCATTTGATTTTTTYCCATTCTTCCAACCATTCCTAAGTACATGATCTTGAATCGACTGAATTTTCTTAATTTTCCCCTTTTACTACCATCCATTTTTCCCATCTCAACAATTTCCTATGGTTTCCTTCAATCTTAAATTTGTCTTAATTCTTCAATTTCCTACCATAACCATTCATTCTTTTCCATACTCCCAACCATTTTCAAATACACAATCTTTCAACCCATGAGTTTGCCTTAATTTTCTCAATTTTCTACCATCCAGTTTATTTTCCATTCTTCTGGTCATTTCAAATTTCCTACTTACCCCAAATTCCGTAGTTTCAATAAATCCTGAATAATTTTTCTTCGTCGTCTTTAATTAATGATAAATAAATGAACTCATTAAGTTTGGAAATTCATTTGTTTATAATTTTTTTTATTTGGCTTCACGTTGCTTTTCTAATTTTTTTGAAAGTAGGATAATGGGTTCCCTGTGGCGTACATTAGCATACGGCTTTGTTTCCGTGCCGCGGTAACGAAGAGATCCGTTGGAAACCGATTTTCCGAAGGATTTCACTTTTTTCTTCTAATTTTTGAACTAAAAAACCAGGTAAGATGGATAATTTCTCCTTAAGTTATAATATTACAACGATGTTCGTTTTCTATCTTTTCTTAAATCAATGTAAAGGCAAAAGAACATTTGATTATTTTGTAGTTGGCGCCATTTTTCCGGTCAGTGAGCTTGAACTCAAATATTTTTACTGCTCTTCTCTTTTTATATTCTCATGCTTCTTACAAAGTGACTGGCATGAAAGAACTGGTTTTCTTTAGCCTGATTTTGGGCAAATAGTTTTAGTATCTATTGAAATTCGAATCATTTCTGGTTGTTCAAATAGTGATTCATTCAGGTTTCTGTTTGTACAAATGAACCATTGCTACATTCAGCACTCCTTCGTTTTTTGCCAAATCTTCAAATATAATGAGAGGCAAAATAAAAAAAGAGTCAAAATCGACCTCTTTGTTCAGAGGGGAAGTAAATTATGACGTATTTGGGTTAGTATTTTAGTGTTGTAATTAATTATTTCTGCCATGTGCGAAGCCTTGCTTAAAATTGAGAGCAGTGTTCGTCAAAAGAAGCAAGAAATATCTCTGTCTTCCGTCGTTTTTCGCGAATCAACTATTTTACCGATTTTATGGCGTCTAAATGCATATGCTCCTGGAAAAGGGGGGGGGGGGCATGCAAGTACACTGTACATGAGCAAGGATTGTGGTAGAATATTTTATCTATGGCATAGCTAAGTTATAACACATGCTCTTACTGGTTAATTAGCATGCACTAGCCTGCATCCATAACTACATGTATGGACTGATGTGATTGAGAAGCAGGCAATGTCTTGGTGGAATGAAAGAATTTTCTTTTTCGTTAACACTTTTTTCAGTTTAGCTATCTTATAAAAGAAATGCTTCATGCTTACTGTCGTTCTACGCTAACCGTGAACACTTGAGTTTGTCAACCAATCAGATTATGAAACAAAAACAATTGAATTGCCCTATTTCACTATGAAGTCACATCTTTAAACGCAAAGGATCATGGTCGTCGGAGGGGGTCAAATCAACACAAATTCACTGAAAATTCTAAAACCCGTATCAATCCACAAAGAGAAGTAGAATAGCCAGCAAAAGCTCAGAATATTTTTTAGTACATATTAACACATATTATATCTGAAAACCAGGCCATTTTAGATTAAACGTCTGTTTTGCTAGGAGCAAATTTTTTTTTTGAATTTTCTATTGGATTTGGCGATTTTATCCCCCACATAAACAAGCAGTGACGTCATAGTGAAATAGGGCAATTTGAGTTACATATATAAAGGTCTATAAAAGCTATTCAAGGAGATGAAGTGATGAAAGAGAAAGAAAAAATAAAAGTATGTTTGCACGAATAAAAAATAAATAAAATAATAAAATTGAGTGTTCGTGGTTAGAGTAGAACAACAGTAATATGCGTTCATTGAGTTATGGAATCCACTTTAGAGGTTGCACTTGGCTACGGGTTGTGCAATTTTGACACTTCTGTGCTTCGCAATCTCATGCATGGATGTGTATCCTTGAGAATRGAACAATATTGAAATAGAACAACATTATACCCCGGCCAGTAAGTTTTACTGTTAATATCGTTTATTCATGAGTTATTGTATGTTTCTTTGCAGTTTTCAATGCCACTGTCTTGTTTGAACTTATTATGGAATGTGGTTGGTATGCATATCAATCAAAGTCTGGTGAAACTCTCTTCTTTTTCAACAAAATAACTGGACAGTACAGGTGGCTGTCATGTTCTGTAAGTAATTACTATGAGAACAATATAAAAAGGGTTTAATCGATACTCCTCCTATGCACTCAGATGTTCAGGTAGAGAATATTAGATTAATCAGCTAGCTGCACTTGTTTGACTTTACATTCCTGAAATCTTGAGGTAGAGATCAGAAAGCAGGCTTTTGCAGAGGGAGGATTCTGGATAAAACCTTAACTTAAGGGTGCCACCTACCCAACACTACATGTAAATCTCACACACATGATGCTGAGTCCAGGATTTGAAACATAGAATGTGAGAGAGGAGTTCATTAAGTAAAATGGGTACTACATTCTCATTTCTTTTTTCTCTGGCCCCTAATTGACTCACCCAATTACAGTCCATGACTAGTTTTACGGTACTTACTAATTCAGTTTTAATATTAGATGTTACTTATCCTGTCCTCAGATGAATTTATAGCCTGCCTTTGTAGACTCATTTTTTTACTCTTGGTGATCTTGCCAAGAAATGGACTACCGGTAACAATTTTTTTCGCAGGATCACCCAACATTTAAAGAATGTGTGTGCAAAACAGGCTCTCAGAGATACAAAGTACCTTATAAATCATTAAGTTGTTATTTGAAAATCAATGTTTTTATTCACAGTGTTCCAAAAATCTTGAGCCTTGGATTCCTGATGTTAACTCCTTTGGGGGCATTGCCTCCGAGGTAATAGAATATGATAAGCCAGATAATATGACAAGTGTTCATGTCCGAAGCATCGCCACAGAAACAGACCTACCTGCTGCTCGGAAGACTCTCAACACACAGGGCACCCAGACCGAGTGCTTGGATGATATTTCATGTACTGATGATCCATTATCACAAAATGTTCTTTCAACGATAATACTAAATAACAGTAATCACAAGAAGGTCCTCTTAGGGGATAATTCTAAGCCTGTTCTATCCAGAAACACTTTTCTGTTACAAGAAAATAATAGCAGTTGTAAATGCAGAGGTGAAGAGAATTGCAATGGTTCCTCCACAGAATCCAAGCAAACTTACAAAAAGGTGAAACTGTTTGAGTGCTCGTACTGTGAAAAGGCGTTTACTTCATATGCTTTCCTAGTTAAACATGAAAAGTATCACGTTGAAAATGACAGCCAAAAGAAGGTTTGCGATGATCTTGAGGAAACCAGATCTGTAAATTCCATTTCCTTTGACCCTGAAGTGGAACAAGAAGAGACAAAAAAGAACTGCCATTTGATGAAGGGTGTTACGAAACAAAACACTGTTGTTTCCACTTTGATCAACACCCCTCCCTCAACTCAGGCAGACAGTATTCCCTTTTTTCAAGCCTGCTTCCAATGTGGAAAGAGTTGCACAATGTCTGATGAGTTTGACTCACATTTACAAGAACACCTGAAGGAACAGTTTTGTAACCCATGCCGAAAATCCTTCAAAGATGCTAACCAATTTATGAAGCATATTTGCAGTTATCATGTTACTCTAAGACGAAAATGTCATCTTTGTAAGGGAAAGTATTTGCTCAAGAGCTCACTTACAAACCATCTATGGCATTTCCACAAAGTAGCCAGCAATGATGAAGAAGAAAGAGGTGCTGTTAGTTATTCACAGAAGTGTGGATCTTGTGAGGCTTCATTTAAGCTGTCAGACAAGCTCATGGAACACCAGAGAGCAATGAAACACAAGGGGATAAAATATCAATGTCATGGATGTGGAAAACTTTATGCCGTGCTCATTGATCTACAGCAGCACTTAATACAGGAGCATAATCTTGATTCTCAAAGCACAAGCTCCAGTCTGTCCAGCAATAGCCACAAAAAGCCTTCGCAACATAAGGAAAGTCTTATCAAGAAGATTAAAAGCTTGGATTCTGTTCAACCAGATAGGGATGCTCAGCGTTATTGGTGTAACGAGTGTGGTGTTTCATACACATGGTCTTGTGACCTTGTTAAGCACAAGATAAAGAAAAGATGTTGTTTGGATAGACCCATAGTACAAATGATTGGTAACAGCCAGCACTACATTTGCAGTTATTGTGACAGACCTTTTGATGACAAGGAACAGTTTGGGAAACACTACGTTAACCATTTTAAGAAAAACACGCCTATCAATTGCGATCGATGCACAAAAACGTTTTCCACATTCCAATCTTTAGAGAACCACTTTGCAGTTCATTTAGAAGAAAAGATCAAGGAGGCAAACAACAAGGGTTACCTAAAGCCATACTCCTGTGAAGAATGTGGAAAGTCTTTTGGTACAGTTAGAAATCTTAGAAGGCACATCAAACGTAACCACACAAAGGAGAAACAAGATAAGGCAATGGGGAAATTCTGCTGTGATATCTGCAATAAAGTCTATAGCCACGGAAGCACTCTTTCAACTCACAAGAAAACACACTCAGTCCAGAATAATTCATTTCCACAACGAGCAGCACAAACAAGTACAAGCACAGCGACAGAGCCTGTAACCAAGCTGAAAAGACCAGCAGAAATAAATGCTAATAAAAATGGCAATTTGCGAAAATTTAAGTGTAACAAATGCCATAGAACATTCTTCAATGCTGAATGTCTAAGCAGGCACAAGAAGTTGCTCAACCATGGAATAGTGCTTCATTTAAGAAGCTCACATGTTGCCAATACTGTGGAAGAACCAAAAAGCAGATCCCAAAACATCTATAATTGTCAAGTGTGCCAAAAGTCTTTCAAATACTATAACATGTTCTACAAGCATCGTTCAGCTCACAAAGTAGAAAAAGTTAGAGGATGTACAATCTGTGGAAAGTTTTTTAAAGTCAATGCATTATCTAGCCAGAGGTTATGTCTGTCCTGCAAAAAGGCCCCTCCAAAGATCACTAAGGATTTCTTTAGTTGTAACATTTGTGGTAAGGCGTTCTTAGAATCAAGAAGTTTGAAAGGCCACATGCAAGCTCACAGTAAAGGACATTTTGATTGTATGAGTTGCAGTATTGCATTTTCAAGTGCCGAGAGGTTGAAYGAGCACATGAGAAATCACAAAAATGAGGTCAGAAAATTAAAGAATTTCAAATCTAAATTCAAAGGGAAGTTTCATGAGTGTAACAATTGTCAGAAGYTCTATTCAAGCAGAAAAAATCTTGTGAGACATAGGAAGATATGTATGAGAAAAGAAAACAACCAACCAGGAAGCAGCCCTGTGAATATTGCAGTCAAGAAGAATAGTGCAGTCAAGAAGAATAGTGTTGGAAAAAAAGCCCAAAAGAAAAATGACAAAAATAATCAGAACTACAGTTGTCAGAAGTGTCAGAAATCTTTCGTGCTGTTTAGCGAATTTTACAGTCATTGCTCAGAACATGGAGAAGAGAAGCCGTGTTGTAAGTGTGACAAACTTTTGTCATCATCTAGTAGCTTGAAACGCCACCTCACCGAAATACACTCTGGAGATCATACSTTTTATTGCCATATATGTTCTGAGGAGTTCTACAGTTTGAATGGTTTAGTAAATCATATAACACTTGTTCCTGGAGCCAAGAGGCATAAATGCAATGAATGTGGCCAAGTATTTGCTTTGTGTAATGGTCTAATGGACCATGTAAAAACACATGCACAGTGAGATGATTTTCAGTCAGTGCAATGGCCTAACTATAATGGAACTATCTTTTCAGTGGTCTAAAGAAAGCCCAGCCAGGGGGAAAACCTTTTTTTTGCATCCGAAGACAAATTATGTAAAACATTTTGCTCTTTCAAATCTTTGTTTTTTTCACAATGTTTCACTGGGAATGGAACTTTCTTCAAGAAGTTTTAACCAATAATTTTTAAACCCCATTTTTTCCATTCTGAATTATTTTTAACTTATCTTAAACTGGTTAAARCATGTATGTATGTAGCTTGCAAAATTCACCTATAATGTTTTCACTTTTAGACTGTGGGCCTAACATAAAGCCTTAGTTTTTATGGTTCGTTTTTTATGATGCTGAGATGCTGAGGAGCAGATATTAATGTAGTTTGGTTGCTTGATAAGGGTGTAAAATTAATTGCAAAAACCCTCATTTGCAACTTTGAATAGAGACCACTTAATTCACACTTATCTCAAAATTGCGAGGCAATAATATGAAAGAAACTCCACGAATGGACCGTTTTCTCAAGGTTGCATGCGCATCCAAATTTAAGGAGCTTGACAGGCCAGGGTACCAGAACAGGAGCTTATATAACGAGAATTATCATACATTTTGATTTCTTTTTTTGAATAAGAATTCATAAAATTGATTATTCTTCTCTTTAAATATGAAACTGGCTTCTCAATTTTACTGAATTTAAATTTTTTRATTTTGTGGCCCGTCAAGTTGGATGCGCAAGCAACCTTGAGAATATTTTGTTGTTGTATTTTCATGTTAGCCTCACATCCAAGACAATTTAAGAAGGGAGCATAGGTAGTCTATAATAGAGGTTCTATCAGAGGATTAATTTACTCTACATCAAAAGAATAAACATAAAGAGAGTCAGTTATTTGTACTTATTGACTGAGTGGGAGGGCTGTACAGGAAAATATTTGGCTCGAGGTGATGGCATGATGATACAAATGACTGAGAGCTAAATATTTTCCAGTACGGCTTGACCTAACTCAGTCAATAAGCATTTTATCATATGACCCTCATGAAAAGAAAAKAATATAATAAAAGAAAGAAAGAAATAGTAAATAAAAGCTAAAAAAGAGAAAGCGCGTAGATTTTGAGCAGGGTCGTACGGATTCGTAATGCCCTGCTCGCTCAAAGCCGTACGGTTTTTTTAAGAGCGTGCGCCCGGGCAGATATGGCTCACATAATAAATCTCTTTATTATATTGTATATTTGGAAAGAACTAGTGACTTAGCTACTGCAGTACTTCTGTTTGTATTCACCTACTTCAAAAAAACGTCAGTCAGAGGGAGGTCTGAATCTGAGACCATATTCACAGCCAAACAATGTTAAGTTTCCTTTTAGATTGCAAGATGATACACAGTCTATAAGTGAAATGTGATTTTTTTGTATTTTAGCCAGAAACCTATATTATGATCCAGAGGTTATTTATTTTCATTCCGGCTTTGGCTCTCCTGGTTACAACCATGGGAAATGAAATAGAACCTCTGGAGCTAAGGGCACCAGAAAACACAAAAGCACAAAATTTTCCTCTAGTCKCAGATTTCCCAGTTTCAGATTGTGGACCATTACGTTTTTTGAAATACTAAGGTGTATGTAGCCTGCATGCAGCCGACCTCTGACTGTACGAGAGAAGAGAGAAAAGTCAGGCTGCACACAGGCTAAGGTGTATGTTGCTCTTAATTTAAGCTCAGCCTTGTGTTGCTAATGAAAACCGATTTTAAAAAGGCCGGACACCTATGATCCTTATCATTTGGATAAATGAATGTATGTACATATTTATATAAATATTAAAGATATATTGGAAATTATATATAATATTATTTATGATTTTGAATAGCTTAGGGCGTGGATCCTGAACATGATGCTCCTATTGGTGGATCATTATGGGATCATCGAAGTGAGAACCATTAGACCACAGCATTCAATGATTCTTTTATTACTCAATATTATATAATTTATTCACTATTTTGCTTCTCATTGGCTGAGAAGCAAACCTGATACTGTGTGAACTTGACATGATAAATGTATTATCATAGTTTTTTGCAAGGGGCAGATCCATGGTGTGTTCTGGGGTGCGCCTGACTTCCCCTAACACCATAATTAGTATGCTTTTTTGAAGCGATGCATAATATCTCTATATGCACTTCTTCATTTGGGACACCCGCCTATCAAATTCCTGGATCTGCCCATTCTGCCATTCTGATCACATGATACAATTATATTGTTGAACAGGATTAAGAGAATAACTGTACTGTAGACTACTGGTTCTTGCATGGTGGATTCATTTGTGAGGCCCTTATTTTAATCATTTTAAAGATAATTTAGTCTTATATCACTAGCTGAATCTTTAAACCTATTAAAAAAGTAGTATTGAAAACTCTTTCCATAGTCCAATCGAATCTTTAAAAAAAATCAGTGGAAGGCAGGGGGGGGGGGGGGGGGGGGGGGTTGAGGAGTGACACAATGTAACACTGTAACACGTTTTCCCCCATGAGGATRAAAACTTTTGTTCTTATTTCTGATCGCATGAAGTGCTTGAATGCAAGGCTTACCCTCTCATTAGCAGGTGCATGAGCAGGGGGTAGATCTAGAAATTTGCAAGGGGTGTCTGAAATGAAATAAGTGACAATAAAGTGAAAACAATAATCCTGATCTGACTAATTTCATTTGTTCTTAGATTTGTTTTTAGATTTAATCTTGATTCATACTAAAGATTGGAGAAACAGAAACCATAAATACAGAGAAGACATATATATTTAAAAAAACAACAACAAATACACACATGCGGCTTGGGGGTGTCCAGTGCACCTAAAGAGACCTTCTGGATCTTCCCCTGATAAGGCTTTATTATTAGTGTTTCTACTTTTTGTAACACCCAGGGGCGGCGGAAGCTGTAATTCAGCTTTGGGGGGAAGGGGCATGACTGCTGTTTTGTTTGATTCCAGATGCATGTGCTGTAAAACTATGACTGAGAAGCAATATTTTGTCTGGCCACCCCAAAAAATTTTGTGTGTGGGGGGAAGGGGGGGGGGAYGTGTCCCCATGGCCCCCCCAGTTCTGCTGCCCCTGACACCTTATGTCTAACCCTGAAAATGTGATACCTAATTTACCCACAACGATAGCAAACCGCCCGCTTTGAAAACGGGAAGGGATGGGAGGGAGAGATGAATCTGATTTGCACTTCTTGTTGAAGCCCGTATGGGTTGCCTGTGGTATTGTACTCTCCATTCAAGATGGACGACCCCTCGAGTCCTGAAAAGGTTGATATCCTCGGCGAATTTAACCTTCTTCCCGCTATTTTCGACATCATTAACTCAGTTCAAAAGACCGGAGACACACAAGAAATGGTCAAGAAGGTAAACAGATCATTTTTAAAGAAAAAGGGCAGCATTTTAATGTAATTTTTGTCGTGAGCTTTCGAGCTTCATAGTTTTTAGAAAAATTGTCAAAGCTCTTCTTTGTCGTTTATAAGGTCAATAATTTTAGAGCCAAGTTACAGCATTGCCGTGAACTTCTAAACACCGTTCCAGGGCTGGACATGAGCTGTGAAGAACAGAAAGCGTTGCTAGAAAAACACAAAAAAGAGCTCGAACGAAAGAGGTAACGATAAAGCCGGGGGGGAATTTGGGTAGGGGGGTTCCGCTGGGATTCTGAAAGGGTTACCCTGTTTATGAAAAAAAAAACCCTCAAATCTGTAGACCCTGTTTATGACAAAAGATATAATTCATTGCACTGAGTTCCTGTTTCAATTATCATGTCATCTCGCGTATCGTTTTTTTTACGACCATAATAACCAGTTTCGGTCAATACGAAAGTAGAAACCCTGAATATGACAGGAAGCTCAGGAAGAACTTGGAACTTAAGTGAAATTGCATACCCTGTTTATGACAAGAAGCTCGGAAAAACATACCCTGTTCAGCGGATAATCCCCGTATTGTCCACATATGGGAGTACCCCCTGGGTGATAAAGATAATATAAGTCAATTCCAAAGGTGCCCATCCCCCCCCCACTTCGGGAAACAGCCGGGCAACCCCCCCTTCCCGGGCAACCGACGGGCATTTGCACATACTTGAGTTCTGCAAAGTCTGGTACTTCATTGTTACTTTATGCAAACTGCTTGGTAAGAAAAGGACGGTCGTAGATAAAAACTCTATTTTGGCTCTTTTGTCAATTCCAAAAAAGGTGCCCCCCCTCCTTAGTATTTTGCACCAGTCAAAGTAATCCCCACCCCCGCAATATTTGAGGATTTGGTGGGGATTTTTTACCTTTTTAGCAGGTTTTTTTGGTTACGACTATGTGGAGATTCAATGCATTTTGTCATTGCTGCAGGAATATGGGGCATTAGGTGGGAATTTTGTAAATTCCAAGATAGCAGCTATTGTTCCAGCAAAGAATTTGGGGACGCAGCATTTTACTTTCTTATAGAAACAAGTTGTTGTAAATATATGTTAAAAATTATGAAAAATATAAAGATATGTTGCCAAGTCAAATTTAGTTGCCAAGTTGGTGGGTCTTTCTTTAAAATTTACCCCAAATAATTTATGTTAGGGGGTGGGGGTTCAGGGTTTACTTTCAATGGTTCATTAGAGTGAAGTCATTAAACCCATGAAATAGATATTAGACTAATACACATTAGTAGACCCTAATTCCATTGTTTTCTTTTGTGTCTATTTGACTATTACACGTTGACTAGTATTTTTTACGTCACGGTTTAAAAGCCTTCGCTCTACTAGGTATATTCATAAATTGAACTTAAGATAAGTGATAGATATATAATGATTTGATTAACTTTTTAATCAATGAGATGTGCATTTTTAACAGACAAGTATCATTTTATTTTCAGTGCTCTTGTTGTGAAATATAAAGACCTGCCTGTCTTCTCAGAAGCAATTATGAAGGAAATGCTTTGACATGAGGACTTGCGGCAAATGTCTGTCCTTTTGGCCATGAAGACAAATTAATAGCCAAATAAGGCTCTAAAGGTTTACTCCAGTTTCAAGTTCTCTGTTCCTCAAGATTAACTTCAACTTTGTGCAGAATACTCTTGTGTTCCAGTGAAGATTGATAGAATCTTGTGTTTGTATTGTTGAAGTTGTGCATTCCTTACTTTATCATTGGCATTTGTGAATATTTAGACACTGATACGAGGCTAGGTTTGAATAAATGAGTCTGTAATCATGGAACACAACAGTAATTTGAAACTTGAAAAAGGTCTATTGCAACTGAAGTCAACATAATGGCCCAGTGTCCGCCTATAACAGGTAATGAACACCTCAGGTATAACCTATTGGCATGATATGATATCATTTGACTACCACTACTAAAATGCTTTGCAATTTTTCTTAATTAATCAAACATGTATTTCCTTATGATAAAAGAAACACAATTGGTGCCAACTAACTGAACAAAAGTTGAAAGTGTGTAAGGGATTCTGGTAGCTTAATAAAAAGAGTTTTTTTTTTTTTTTTTTTTACATCTAATTT